TGAAGCTGCTTGGCACAGATTGACCTTGAACTCTGTCATGCATAAGCACTAAGTTATAATGTTCTTTGCCACTTCCATTGTTTATAGCAGTGCTTGGAAGGAACGTGTGTAGAGTGTGGTTGTCTTACCACACCACAGAAGTTCCATCAGTAACCAAGGCTTGTGCAGCAGTTTTGGCTAAGTACAACCTTTCCCCAGGTCCAATACCTACCATATTCCCTAGATTTTGCCCCTTGCAACTATTTTCTCTTAAAAAATCAAATCTTACTGAAACAAGATTTCAAGACATTGAGGAAATCCAAGAGAATGTGATGAGGCAGCAGCTTGCTATCCCAAAACAAGAGTTCAAGGAACACTTCCATCAATGGGAGTATAGCTGGATAAAAAGTGTGTGGCTTCAGAAGGGAATTACTTCAAAGAAGGTTAAATATTGAATTGATGTGTTGTAGTTTTTTTATACCACTACACCTAATACATTTTGATAACATAAACATGTGCATTCTCAACTATAAAACTGAACATTCTATTACAAAACCACTATTATACAAAATTTAATAAACCATAAAAGAGTTAACTCTCCCACAAAAAACTTTTCTACATTGAATTAAAAAACATTAAACAAACTCTCATTAATAATGACATTCCTAATTACATTGTTGATGAGCAAATTAGACAAGTTATTAGAAATATTGTTATAAATCAAAAAGGACATAATACTTCTTCAAATAACCCCTAAACATATCAACCTGATATACTGCAATCAAATATATTCTGACTATAAACAAAAAGAAAAAACCTGTAAGTACTAATATATCCCCCACAGCTCTCAGTAAAAAAAAATAGAACTAATTATATACTATGCTAAATTTAATACAACCATTCAGAGTAACTCTTCTCCATGAACTAATGTTTGGCAAAAGGCCAACATTGTATATCAATTTAAATGTCCTTTGGGGGATTGTATAACTGGCAAAAAAAGTAAATGTATATGTTGGTTTCACGGCAACAACATTAAGGAGATTTATACTACATATGTCAGATTCAAGTTCCATTGCACAGCATTTAAAAGAACATTCTTGTTCACATTCACAATTTAAAGAAATATTAATTGACAAGACAAGTATACTCTACCATGAAAATAAAAAATCTTTAAATTCTTGAGGCCCTCTATATAAAAAATAAAACCAACACTAAATAGGGTTGGTTATGAGTATAGCAACAATGTTTTAAAATGTCTATAATAGCAATATTTTTAAAATACTTAAATTGTAATTATAAAAAAATTACAGTTATATAAATTAAAGTTACTTCCCTTAGATAAACTTGAACAACATAATAGCTTTAACAGTTAATTTTTAAATTAATTATAATGGAGCACGATCAGACATTTTTATAATTATAACAGAGCACATTTCATGCGCATTTACAAAAAAAAATTCACAACTATCAATTACATTATTTTTTTGTCTTAGTAATTCATCCCTTAAGATGATCTTGGATGAGACTAAAATTACTTTGGAAAATAAAAGAAATGAAAAAAACTATGGTGCCTTCCTTAATGAATTAATGAATTTAATATTAACATTAAGAATATGATCAGAGAATTTGAGGATTAAAATAAAAATAGACATAATATGTCCAGATTATTCAATGAAACATGCTTGAATGAAAATATGCTGCCTATCTATACATATAATTTGCTTTTTCTGTTTAACTATGCAGTTATTCTATCTTCTCAAACTTGGAATAGCATTAGTTCTGTAATTTGTCTTAAAGTTAAATATACTATGGTAAAGGAAGCTAAAAATGAATATTGTCTATATACAGTAAACAGTCATTTACATCTGAAGTAAATTCTGCAAGCAAAGAAATTACTAGAAGCTTAAGTTACTAAGCAGTGAGGACAGATATGAAAAATTCAAGTTGAAATAAGAGTACAATTTGATTAGAACTGTCCATGCTCGGCAAAGAATTAATGAGATTTTTTTTTTTTTACAAAGAAAGATGTTTACTAAATTTAGCTCAGGTTGTGTTATACTCAGTGTGGCTCAGACTCATGAGCAATAGCTGGCAAAAATTACTCAAAGACACTATTCTCTGGTACCAGTTGAAAATATGTGACTACTTTAACAACTAAGCAAATGTGACAGTTTTTCTTATTTTAATCTTTGCAAGATTTGTACTTTAAAAAGAAACAACCTAAAATCAACAAAATTTAACGCAATTTAGGAACAAACATATTAAATGAATTTCATAATTAAAATGAAAAAAAAATGACCAAAAAGCTACAATACTGGAAAACCATCAAAGAAACACGACACATTGCTCAATCAATCCACAATAAGTTCTTTGATAATTGCCCATGAAAGCCGAAAGGACTCAGAAGACATTGGACAATTTTATGTTCATTTTCTTCTTGGAAATCAGAAACATGGTCTGAATGGTAAATAAAGAAAATATCTTTATTTTTTTTTTTTTTTTAAAAAGAAAAAAAATGAAGACTTTTATTGATCTTTAACCAAACCTATCTATTATGTATGCATGTACATACACACATACATCTTCGGAAACACTATTAAACACTCTTCCCCCTAGTAATTTATTAAGCGTAGCTTAGATGTGGCACAAGGCCGAGAATATGGAGCACCCAGTAAGGATCGAATTCACTACTCAGTCATAATTGGTCTAGTAAGACAAGCCTGCTAACAATTGCACCACAGCAGGGTGTATCTTTTCCCTTATAAATATAATAAATTTTAAACTTACACACTTACACTTTTTGCACTATATAAGACACACTGGTGTATGGGATATACCCAAAATTAAGAATGACATTTTTGCAGGAAAATAAAGTTGAAAATTTTCTGCAGCCTGTCCTGGGTCTCACTGGAGAAGTCTTGTAGATCTTAAATCTAACTACAGTTTTAATTTTCACTGTGTATTGGATGGGTCAGTGGACTGGGAGATATATCAGGGATGAACAATTTTAGTTGGCTGTTAGTGTTTGTTCATCTTGATTGTCACATGTTTACCGATTTTTCAGAAGGAGCATCGGCAGCTTGTTCAGCAAGAGGCCAATAGTGACAAGAGAGTGGGTTATGTGATCTGAACTTTACCAGGGTGGGATTCTTCATTGTGCTTAGGTGATGTGGGATGTGGTTTTATGGGTCTTGTTGAATGAATATATTGTTAGTCTGTCTCTTAAATCAGGGGGAAAGATTCCACACATCACAGGAAGGAGACTTGACTGAACTACAAATCAGTTGCAGGCTGACATTTATGTTGGAATCAATTTTTCTTATGTGTGAACTGTGGGACTATATGGGGGACACAATACTCTGCAAATCTAAAGCAGAAGTGTAGAGGATGTGGAAGTCTGAACCCCAATGGTTTCCTGTAAGGAGGTTGCAACATGTACTCACTTTTAGACCAACGTCCTTATTGTGCTGCTTAAAAGTAATTAAATGTGTGGTCTTCATCGTGCTAATTTCACTTTACTCTGTTCTTCTTATTTTTCTTACTGTTGGGGCGCACCCACCTTCTAACTAGTAATGGACTGGTCCCTCTTATATAAGTCAGCTCTGGAGAGAGAGTGACAGAGCGTCAGAGAGAGCGTCAGGGTTAGCAGTCCAGATAAGCTTACCCGGTACATACCATTGGACTATAGACTTTGGATATTGTTTCGTACTAACCAACCTTCGTTCTACTAATCACTCTATTGTTAATTGCTTTTATGAATATACCAGTATTTTCCTCTACAACTGTGTTTGTCTTGATTCTTACACCAACACGCGGGAAACTCACAACATCTCACTTACACAACATTTATATCTCTTACTATTCACTCTTTGATTATCAAATCCATGTACTCACTGTTCTGAATAACTAACATATTTCTCTTTTGTGTGTCTGTGTATATATATATATAGAGAGAGAGAGAGAGAGATGCACACACACACATATTTATTCTTTAGGTAAATATTGGGGGCTGCAGATTCTTAGTGCTCTTAAACAAAACCCCATAATTATTTCAGGTTTTATTCTGTTACAGTGGTGAGAATAGAAATTAATAAGGTCATTCTTGTTGGTTGCTTTCTGTAAACCATCAACTGAAGGTCATTATTTGTTCTCTGTAGCATGATATCTAGGAATGGTAAAGGGTTGTTTGACTCAGATTCAAAGATAAAATCTCTTGTGGTTTCGCATTAGTTTTGATCAATCTCAACAAAATATGTTGTGAATATATTAATAGAGAATTATCTATGTATCTAAAATAATGAGAATTTTGAAGCAGGTTTATATAAAATAAACCCACAAATGTTCCTTACTATATGGTGCATGCCTGAGTGGTTAAAATGTTCACATTTTGACCTTGAGATTTGTGTTTGAATCTCACCAAAGTTGATTTGTCAGAGAAGTGACTTCTTGATGTTATCAGTTTGGGGAAGGAATCTCTGTGTGCAGCACTGTGACAAAATGCCTGAAAATTACACCATGGGTTAACCCAAACCTTGTGAGTGAAATTGGGTAGAGGAAACTGTCCAGAAGCCATTAATGATTGTACTAGCACAAAGTCACAAGTTATCATGACCGATGGTTTGAGCATACTGGCCTAGTTCAAAAAATATTGATCATGCCAAATGATGTGCACTTTAACAGAAACTGTAACTACAGTCCACTCAGCATAGTTGCAGTATAAATCAGGACGCCTGTTTTCTGTAGAGTCATGGTTAGCAAGTTATTCTTTTATCATTAATGAGTGATTCTCAAACTGTACTTTTCATTGAATTTTCATATCAATACATCTGATATTTTTCATCCAGTCTTATGTTATTAACAATCAAATTAATCAAAATAGTATCACTGACTTTGTTTATATTGAATAGTTTTTACTTTTTCACAGCTTTTATTTTTGCTGCCTCCTTCAACACTCAGTTTTTATTATATCTATAACATTTTGTCCCTCTCATTCTCTACTTTTCTCATCTTCTCCTAACCAGTTCTATTATCTTTCTATTCATTTTTCCATTCATTTTCTTTCAACAAAACTTTTCCTTCTTTTTCCATTCTTTTTCTTTCAACAATATTTTCTTTATTTCTTCAGCTGTCTTTGCTAGCCTCAAAACATCTTGTTAATTTACTTCTCCTCCCCATCTTTTCTCTTTCTCTCTCTATATGATGTAAACAATGTTCTCCTCTTCAACTGGATAATTTTGCTTTACTTTCTTCTTTCCGCCTTTGTTATTCTTACAAAAAACTTGTATTTCTTACTATTCACTCTTTGGTTATCAAATCAATGTACTCACTGTTCTGAAAGACTAACAAAATTTTTTTCAATTGAACAATCTTTTTTGTCTTCTCAGATCATGAGAAAGTTACCATTCATGTTCACATTGTCATGGCATAATTCTACAATGATTTCTCCATGGTTAAATCTCAATGTCACATGTCAGTAATAATGAGTTTTGTAGGACTACTAACTGTAATTCAACTCTAACACAATGCAATAACTTAAGACAAGAAAGCAAAGAAAGTAATCACATATTTCTACTATTATCATTTGCATCACTTAAAATTATTCCAAATTTGTCACTTTAAGGAAATGCAAGTTAATAGCACATTCCGATGCCTGGTTCACAGGTTTTTTTATAGTTGGTTAAAATTGATGAATGGCTTATTTCTCAGTATATTTTATTTTGAAATAATTGTATAGTTTTATTTCTACTACAGACAAACTAACCTGGAAATATTCCCTATTGAGAAAAAAACCCAAGCTCAGTTTTTCAAGTAAAAGTTCTCTGAAGTCTTTTGTTTATTTGTCAAAGCAAATGGAAAAGTTGGTTATAAATAAGACAGACTTAAACAAGTTCAAAATACCAGGACAACAAATCTGTTTAAAATTTGTAAAAGACTAGAAATGCTGTGTTGATAATATATCAGCAGCAAATCATAGAAAGAGATGTTTCTTTTAAAAAGAACCAATCTAAGCCAATCAAAATTGAATAGAAAATTCTATCCATCATGTAATAATCTGATTGGTTGAATGTTGACATTCAGCATTATCAAGTTGGTCTGTATTTTGTATATAAAGAACTGTTGAGTAGTGCAAAAATGGAGAATTTGATTCTAGTCAGTACAGTTATTTGGTGACTATATACTTTTTTTTGCTTTCATTTTGGATGATTTTATAAGAAGTCAGGTTAGTGCATAGTTGGAAAATGATCCTGGAATAATATACATTTTGAACTCTATTTCAATCCTTCATGGGCTTCCAATCCTTAGCTATAATTAATTAAAAATGAACATGTCATATTTGTTTATGATTGATTTCATCACAATACTTCTGTTAAGCTTGGAGAGTAATTATACATTCTTATTGCTCAAAGTAGAGTCAATGGTGTTATAAAAACTTCGGTGAATTCCAGTAAGATATCTTTAATCATTTCTAAGATACAATGGTTCAGAGTTTAAACTAACAATTGAAAATTTTTTCACAATGCATATATATATATATATATATATATATATATATATATTATATATATACATATATATATATATATATATATATATATATAAATATATGTATATATAATCTATATAATATATATATATATATGAAATATATATATATATATAATATATATATATATATATATATATATATATATGTATACTATATATATATATATATATATATATAATATGCACTATATATATATATATATATATATGTATATATGTATATATATATATATATATATATATGTATATAATATGCATATTCAGTACATATTACATCCCAATAAATGTAATATAATATACACATAATATATGCACTATATACACCACATATATATATATTTATATATCGCACATATATATATATATATATACATATATATGTATATATATATATATATATATATATATATATGTGTGTATATATATGTATATAATATGCACATAAGTATATATATATATATATATTTATATGCTGTGCATATATATATATATATGTATATATATATGTATTTTATGCAATTACAAACTTATATATTGAATCATAATTTGTTATATGTAGTTCATAATATTTTAAAATATTTGAATATGATGCTTCGCTAGGGCTAACAAGGTGTTTTTTATCGTATATTCATCACTAAATCAGGATTGCCAGCAAGGCTCAGAGACTCCATTCACCTCACAGGTTTGAATTCAAGTTTTCCTTCTCCCTAGACCGAGTTGCACCAGAATCACAATATGTAACATTATTCCTCCAGAGTACCAGCTTTTTCTAGAAATTAGTAATAACAAGTAATTAAAATAGATATTGTCCGTAATAATATAATAATTCTTCAGCAGTGATGTTTTTTAATTATTGTAATAATATAATATCGTTAAATAGTACGGAAAACAAGAGCGTTTTTATCATTTGTTGGCAACACTTTGGGGAAGACTTTGAATAGTCATTTGTGTCAGGTAACCATTTTCTCATCAGAAGGCATATTCCATCAAGTGACTTCACTTATGGAACCTAGTTTATCAGAGTTTCATCAACTATATAATTCTTGGGATATATTATATTTTATTTGAAACTTTTGATACATATCATCTGAGTCCTATATGATAATATATACTATATATTCAGATGTATATATATATATATAATATATACTGTA